AATAAAAAATTTTTGACTTTTTCACGTTTTGTTAATTTTAAGAATAGAAAACAAGAAAACATCTACGTTTTATTTGATATGACACAATATTTTCTCACATTCATGAAACGTTTATAATTTCTGAAGAGCATATCTTCTTTTTACGTAGATCGACCCTTCGGAACATTCTGCGAAAAAAATTATAACCCATGGTAAATTCGAAACAAGGGTTGACCTTCGTTTACCGGGCTAAATAGAGCCATAATTATGACGCTAGCGACCTGCTTGATTTGGCGGCTTATTTCAAGTGTGCCCCCTACCCTACGAAGTTCAATATTTACTATTAAATATGCCATAAACTATTCAGCCTCTATGTCTAGAATTGAACCTGGCTGTACAACTTTCGATTCTTTATCGACCTGCAAAGTTTCACAAAAATTCGAAAGTTACACTTCACGTGTTCTCCTTCTCAATGCATTGAGCTCACCACACCAAAAACATATCAACAAAGAAAGTGAATCAACATTGCGAAAGTAAGCAAGACGTGGTATTTGAAGGGAATATTTCTTTTTTATTTTAATTAAACAGATAAACTGTGTAGCTTTGGACCAGAGCTGGTGCAATCTCAATTTTTGTAATGTTTATGAAGTTCTCCCGATAAAAATGAATGCAAACACAACATAAATCGGACTGGTGTTAACACGTTTTAGTTATTTTCAACGTTCAAGTAATTTCCTAATAGTAAAAATAGCCATTTCTATTAAAAAGTAATTCCTTCCGAAGCTTATTTATAATTTCATTATTACATGTAGTTATAATTCCAACCACTACTAATATTGTAATTTTATTCTATGCTGAATCGATAATGTTGGAAGTGATACAAAAATGGTATGGAGGCTCGGAAACCCCCGTGACGTAGGACAAAAAATACATTGGGTAAAAGCACAGTCAAGTGGTGATAGATCAAATCTGTACCTCGTCTGTGCTTATACTTCGTCTGTGATATAATTATTATTTAAAAACAGCATTGACTCAAAGATTGCAATTTTAGTTTTCAGATTTAGATGTTAGATGGCAGTTTAAGCCAAGAAGCTTTAGTCTGTCTCGTATTGCGATTTAAATGCTAATTTTATAAAAATTTTGAAAATTAAATTAGTGCTGTTAACAATAAATACACAGCAAGCACGTAAACATGTTTCTACCTTCGGGTGTACTTCGTGCCCTTTCTGTAAGTTACTTATTGATGACATTATGATATTGTATACCGTAGTTTGTAATATCCTAACCTCTTTTATAATCTTATATAATTTTGTTTGTTCGTATATATTTATCAATATTAATTTTTAATTTTAAATTACTA